TAGTATTGATATTTTGAATTCTTCTAAGTCCTTCCTCTAAGGAAAAGTGTTTGGAAGTTTTAGGTGGATTGGGTAATTGCTATTCGAGTTGCCTCTTTTAAATTTCATTAGAAGCTCAAGTAACTTCTGGCAATTTGGCATATATATCAATTTGCTCAGAACCAACCCCAGCTTCTGCTAACTTTCTACGAAATTGCGAAATGCAAGAACTGGCTGCCACAATTGCTTCATCTATATTATTTTTTTGGCACAGCTAAGTCTAAAGCTTGTAAACAAATATTCCACATATCGTCAGTTTTTGCACAATATTGAGCTCTTTCCTTGATAGTAAGTTTTTCTCTCTTTTGTCTAGTACAAGAGCTTCTATTTGATTGTCTTTGAATAGGCGCTGGTGAAGAGCTTCTTTCATATCTTTACGAGCCTTCCAATCTGGTAGCATAATACCAAGCTCATCAGCATGAGCACATAATTGAAGTGGGGTTGATTTAACTGATAGGTTATATTTATCCAAAAACAGATCTAAAATAGAGATGAAGTTATTAGTTTTGGATTTTCTAGTTTTTCGGACAGTTGCTATGATAAGTATGTAAATAATATATATTGATAAGTAGAAGATGATTATACATTAATCTACTTATTGTTTCAAATTGAAATTAATTACGCTTTTTCCTCCTATATCCAGAAAAAAAAGTTTATGTATAGCTATAGGGTAACCAGGATGTCGATTTGAAATTTACTAACATACAGGATATAATGGAAAAAATTTATAGCTTTGAGTTGTGGTGACTCAGGCTATATTAAGGTTTATGATTCATTTTTATTTTTTATTGTAGTGTTCTTGCTATAGCAAGTATATGTTCTGGACCTAGAGTATCTGCTTTACTGAATGCATTATACAAAGCATTCAGTTTATATTTTGATAAAGTTAAATTTGGGTAATGGAGAAATCTTGCAAGTATATCATTTCTCCATTCCCGAGGTTCTTTATAATTTCAACATATTTTTAATAATTGAGATAAGTTATATCCAGAGTATCCTATCTGAATCAGATTATGTAACGCAGTTCGTTTATTTTTTTCTATAGCAAATAGACACATTTCTCCTTTCACAGCAGTACCTACAGAAATGGGGTATCTTTTACATATATCCTCATTTTCGCTAAAGTAGAAAGAGACAGGATCAAAGCAGAATGAAAGAAGTCAGCTAAGAGATAGATTGTACCATATTCATCTAGATCTATTAGCGGAATAGCATCTAAATAATGTGAAAGGTCTTTAGTATATTTATAACCTTTATGCAACAATTTTTGGAATAGCTTTCCATTCTTTTTGATCCAATGACCTGTGGATAAGTTGAAAACTTCTTCTGGGATGTCAAAATCTTGGTCATTCATTTTTTAATGTAGTATATATTACGAAAGGATAAATATATTCTAGAATACTAAATAATCATGATGAAACTTTAAATTGATTTTTTATATAATTGATATTAAAAGTGAAAGGATTTATGTATATTATATCCTAAAATATTCTAAATAGAATGTATTACTTGCCAACATGTTAAGAGGGATAGTATATTTTGTGAAAAAATTTGTACTCGGCTTTCCGGGTGTAGTCCACATTGGTGGATATAGGTAAAAAAAGCTTCGAAAGAGTTATGTAAAATATGTGAGAAACTTATCTCGTCTTATACTGGCTATTGTGCAAATCATACTGGGAGAATTTACTCCTACGAATATTGAATTAGGCACAAGAACTAGTATATTATTGCCTCCAAATTCATATATATAAGCAATTTCAAGTGATACAAAAATCCCCTTTACAAGTATTTCACAATATTTTTTTGATCTGAATTTTTATATCGTCTAGTTGTAAGATCAAAAAATTCTTTCTATATTGAGGATCCTACCTACATCAGCAAATTTAATAGGGCGTAATATTGTGCAATAATTTACAAAGTGTAAGAAAACCGTAATATTACGTAATAACTTTCGCAATATTGCGAAATATATAATTACGAAATATTACATAAGATAA